GATAATAAAATTCCTCTGAAAGCAAAGACTTTTGCCAAAAAATATAATTGAGAAATTCCAAAGGCAACATTTCTTTCAGTGTGAGAGGATTTACAATGTATGTACGTATCCTCCACATATGCGAGCGAGTCGTAATGCTCTGCAAATTAGGATTTAATGAATGTTATCCCGGGCACGAGGACGACGACTTTTGGCCTAAAGTCTCAGCCAAAAAAGAGCACTTAAAAATGTGCACAGGGCATAAAGTGAAATTCAATTGTGAGCCCCAACAAATATTGAAATATCTTCCAGCAGAGCCGGGTGTGACTCGGTAAAGGATAGATAGGATATATTTATGCAAATATTCGAGTATGTAAATTACTTACACACAAAAATTGTGTCAGCAAAATGTTTTAGGGGATAGAAATGTTTGTACTCGAAATGATGGGGATATTTTTTCGTTATGTTACGGTTATTTAATTGTACAGAGACATAGATGTGGCTTAAAATATATTTTCTCAGTGTATTTTGATCTGTTTGCTGTTTAAGAGTGCACTACAAGATTGTTTTCAGTGTTATCGTCCGCTGCCTTCTTTGCGATTTACCGTTTGCTATAGTCCAATGCCTATCCCATTGCTGTGCATGTTTGTTCTTGTCCGCTGCCTGTGCCATTGCTGTTAGCGACAGGGAGAGAAAGCGTAGGCAGAGCGACAGCACGCTCAGAGAGGATCAATAGCGACAAGAACAAGAGAGCGCGCGTTGAGCGGCAGTGTGGTGTGTGGGTTAGAAAGAGAAAGAGCGGCATGGTTATTGCGTCGTAGCAAAGACTATACAATACTATATTGTATAGTCTTTGGTCGTAGACAATTCTTTGGTATGCTGAGAGCGAGAGAGTTATTATGGAATGGTTTGCTGTGCTCAGAGAGTAGTTGGAAGTGTGAAAAATGGCAATGGAAACAGATAAAACAATCGAAAGAAAAACCCGACATATAAAATGTGGAAAAAATTAATCAGAAAGCTAAGTTTTAAGAGTTAATCCCATATGTTCTTTCTATTAAATTGGTTTGTAAATCAAATCAAAATATTAAAGCCATTATCAATTGATGATCTGTACAGCAATTACAGTAAAACTTGTGTATTCTGTTCTTCTAAAGGAAAGTCCTGTTCAGGACTTTTTTCCCCAAGGATAGTGCCTATCCTACTATGGGGAATATTTCTTCTTTCAATATTAAGTTTTTCCACCAATTTATCTCAAATTATAGCTGTTCATAATCTGAATACTCGTATGAAAACTTTTCCTGAACGAACAGCAACAGCGGCAGCATTTAACCGCATAAACTTTCTTCCAAAAGAGAGTGAGAAAACACAGCCCCAAGAAACCCAGACAAATATCAACTGCAATCCCACCCCCCTCCCAACCGCTGCTCCTGGTTTTGGGGGGTTGTACTTTGTAAATATGCATGCGATATGCTTAATTATTTATTACGACTAATTTGAAAAGTCCCCAAAAAGTAGAGAGAGGAGAGAGAGCTTTCATCGCTCGTCATCGTGTATAAAGTTTGAAGTTGATGTTTACGAGGTTTTCCTCCCCGAAAACCCCACAAAAACTGTTTAAATGCTGAGCCAGAAGTACACACACTTCCCAGCAGAAGGAAATGAAAGGACTGGCACATGGTTGGATCGCTATCCCTGCAGACATCACATATGAACGTCCGTTTACACAGGTCAAAACACCAACATACCCAGACGGAGGTCTCGGGAACTGGGGGGGTCTTTGAATCGGAGGAATCAGCAGAGCCACACAGTACACGGCAAAGTTTAAGTAGTTTAAAAAGTGTCCTCCTCGTCGTCTGGTGGCTGGTGGCCTGGTGGATGGCTGGGTGATGATGAGCCCTTTGCCAGGCAACGAGTAGTCATCCCCTTAAGCCTCTGAGCACACAAAACTCGTTTAAGTTTTAATAAACAAATTAAACTTACTTGTGCTGTCTGTGCTGTTTTTTATTTTGGCGCCAGTGGTACGCATTACGAGAAGACTTTTGGGGAAATATCAGCAGGGGAGCGAGCGACTGCCAAAAGGTTAGGAAGGGCTCCAAAAGGCGTGTGAAAAGTACCAAGCTCTATACTGAAATCAAGGCAACGCGTAAAAGGTGGATCCTTATTAAAAGGTGGGATATAACTCTGACTATCCATCATGTGGTATCTAATCTATAGTTTGGAGACACTTTTTGTTGATAAACTTAAGATTACTAAAGAAAATGTATATTTTTTCTTTACATCTTTCAAGATAAGCACATGATAGCTTGGTAATCCATTAATTTCTATGATAATCTGTTGTTGCCCATGAATTCTTTCAACGATGCCAGAGCCATGGGAAAAGAATGAGAGGTCAGGTGAGAATTGGTCTCGTTCCTCATGACTTGCTCACATGCACATTTTCGTTATCTGTTTGGATTCATTCGTCTGTTCGGCTTTAGGCAAAATGTATCTCAAAGATGAACAACTATTATCAGAGTGGAATATTTCGATCGATCTTCCATTCATTAAGTCATTTTTTAAGCTTCGAAATAGAGTGGAGACATGAAAACTCAAAGTTCAATCATCTACTAACTACTTGTATCTTCTTGAAGCTATCAAAGTCTGCAACTAAACTCATTCGAGGCTAATAGACACCTCCTGAGACTTCTTGATGCAAGCATTGAGTCAAAAATTCAGTGTTTAGAGACAGACAATAGGGAGTGCAGAAGCACCTCTCGGTGGATGGTCAAGAGTCACGTAGTGGCAGCATCAAAATGCCACATTAAGTAGCATGCAAACGGATGGCAGGAGACCCCTGAATGGAAGTCAAAGGCAGGACAATAACAGATATTGAAAGCTGCTGCGAGGACACACACACAAAGAGTGAGACAGGGAGACAGGGAAGACAAGGAGCAGAAATATAGCTGGACACTTTACCCCTGGGGGCACACAGCAAAGAGCCCGAAATGCAACTAGTTATAGAGAAGCCACTCATTCAGTCAGTCATCCGGTCATTGAGCCATTCAGGGACTCTCCTTCTCCGCCTTCGAGCATATCCTGGGCATTGAGCCAAATAAAAAACGACTACAACAAAACAAAGCAAAACCCGAAAACATTTCAATTTTCCTGACGAGCTGCTGCCATGGCCAGGCCACCCTTCCATCCTCCCTCTCGAGCAAATACTCGTAATAAAAAATCAACTTTTGGTCAAGTGAGCAAATTGGCTAAATGAAAACGATGTAATGAACCAGAGTGCATGAGGGCCAAAAGGAAGAGAGAGAGAGAGAGAGCGAGAGAGAGAGCCACTCGATGCAGGGCCAATAGCGAGGGAGCAGTCTCTAAGCGGAAGTTGGTTTATTGAGATGTGATTTGGTTGCACAATGACGGAGGAATGAAGGATGAAAGAAAGGTACAGGAAATGGTACAGTGGCAGTGGAAGCAACATTTGATGGCCACGAGTCCTTCCAAAACAGAGACCAAGTACAATGAAAGTTTAACCATTTCTTGGGCGAAGGCTGTTTCTGTTTAAATACTACCCCAAAGAATTTCCACATTAATTTCCTTTGCCATTTTCCCGAAAAACTCCCATCTGCAGCTTACTGAAAATATATGGTAAATCCCCGACAGCTGTAGCTTCGCTTCTAATTAATGTCAGTCCTGTCCATCTTTCTGCCTCCCTGACAGTGTGGGGGCGGGGCATTCTAACGCCTTTTCCATGTCATAATAATTTCTGGCTCTCTCTTTCTGCGAAACGACGTCCAACAACAAAAACTTTAATTAGTTATGCAAAAGACGAGGAAAATGCAGCAGCTTTCGGAGAGAAAACAAAGAGACGAAAGCCCGGAAAAATAATGTAGAACAGCGGGAAATTTTAAAACGGAAACTAAAATAAAATAAAAAAACGCAAACAGGAAAAACACACACACGAAAATAGAATTTGTAAAAGGGAATTAAACACATGTTCCGCACTGCTCTCCTCTCCACTCCGCGCCAAACTTTCATTTGCAGGAAATGTTTTCTAAAAAAATAAAAAGGAAGAGAGGGAGGAGAAAATTCCCAGATTAGAGGGGGAAAAGAAAGAGAAAGAACTCTTTTTTTTTTTGCGAAAAAACTCCCACTTTTGTGGTGGACAAAAAAAAACCACTGGTAAAAAAAGAGATGGGGGGAAACGAATTTCAAATTAATTGTGCGCAAAATTGTAATTTCATGCGGGTAATTAATAAATTATATCCAGCATATGCAAATCCCAAGGATCCCCAGGATATACCACCCCACTACCCCCCGCGTGTGTGTTTGTTTCCAATAACACGCGAAAACAAATTAACGCGAATTTAATGTGCCATGAATATGGTATAACCCCTGGAATCCCTCCAGGCGGGGGTGGGTGGAGAGAAATATTATTATGCCATTTAATTGACACAAAACAATGCAGTGGCCCAAAGGGTCAGTGGACACAGGCCAGAGGGCGTGGCTTTGCATTTGAAAGGTAATTTTCAAAAGGATGGTTGAATTTTTAATTTAAATATTGACACAGACACACAATATTGACAAAATAGAAGAAATGTAGGTTTTTTAGAAGCTTTAATTATTTTTTTAATTTTAATAATTATATATTAATAAATTCCATTTTTGTGGTATTTAAATCTGGCGGGAAACCAAACTACAAACGGACCTGGTCGATACCCATCTATCGATACATTAACAATTAATTAAACATTAACAAAAAACAACTCGCTCTTGTCTATAAAATACTTTAATAATTGTAAGCAGCATTGTGAGCACGTTTTAAACCATTCCATTAAACTAAAATATTAATAAACATTGGGTGATTGAAATTCCTACAAATATAGAATATCCCTAACATAATCATCGATAGAAATGCTGGGTAATCGATAGCGATAGTTCTCTAAACCTTCCTCTAGGCCATCTCTACCATGACATTTCGCTTGACATTTCCTTTTTAATTGAAATCGAAAAATGACTCCCTCCGAAAAAAAGCAAGAAAACATGAATGCCGAAGTGGACATGGATGCCGAAGTGGACATGGATGCCGATATGGAGTTTCTGGATAGCGCCATCGATTTAGTATTTGATGCGGATCTCACTGTGGAACCGCAAGTACGAAATCAGCTTTTGGAGTTGGTCTACGGTAAGTGATTGCCCCACAAGAACGACTAATGCCCCAATGATTATGTTGCAGCCAGGACCAATCGACTGCTGATGCAAGCCCACGAAAATAGGAACGATAGGCACAGCGACGACATTACGCTCGCCGACTGGGAAAAGGTGCCAAAGGTGCAGATGAAAAAGAGGAGCAAACTATTGAGCACAGACGAGAAAAACGACATCATGGCAAATCAGAAATCCGACATGCCCATGCCCAGTACCACTGGACCCTGCTCCGGGCTGATGTTGCCGCCCTGGCGACACTGCAAAATGGGTCCCACGGCCATCCTGAAGGCAATGCAGGCACCACAGAAGATTGCTACTGCTGCAAAGTCCAATGGTGCAAGCTGCCAGGGCTATTTCCCGGTCAAGGGCGTTCCACGTTTCCCTGCTGCAAAGGCACTACCAATGGGTGCCTTTATCTTCCGCTAGGAATCGAACCGCCCATCAGACGAGATAGGATCCTATTTCTTAGACTTACAGCAACAGAAACATTATGAATCAATCAAATGGGATTACATTTCATCTTTGTTTAATGGAAATAAACAGAAATGACATTTCAACTATCGTTTAAATCATTTTTCACCACAAATTCTCACTTATTCAATCCCACAGTTATCCAATTTGAATTTTAACTAAATTTTCAACCAATTATGAAGGAAAACTTCATCGTAATATCCACCAAACGACCTCGATGAACCCCAGAATGAGAGGAAAAACACACACACACACACAGGCGTACGTGCATGAAAAAAAGAGTAGGGAAAACTTTTAACAAATTATCAACGCACAGTAGATGAAACTTTTTCCAGCAGGTGAAAAACTTTTTTTGTACAACAGCAACATTCTGTATAAATTCGTAGGGCATGCCACAACGCAGTGGCACACACACACGTGAGTGCAATTATGTAATACAAATAGGTAATGAAAGTTTTACAACACTTGACCAGGCCCATTCCCAACCCAACACTGTGTCTGTACGCAAAAAAAAAACTAGACAAATATTTTCAACAATTCTGCTACAGGGAAAAGGGCTTTTACTCGCTCCCCGAACCCAAACCCAAAAAAATAGAAATAAAATTAAGTTTCGCCCACAAAAAATAGTCCCCTGTTTTCCGCTCTCTGCCGCTGAGAGGTAATTAAATTTATTGAAATAAATTGTCCCTGGTGCTGATGCTGGCTCTGGTGCTGGTGCTGGGGCCCCGAAGAGCGACTTAACTTTTAATGAAATGAGTGCATAATGAAACCGAGTAAATAATGGTAGACGGGGCCAGCACACAGAGAGAAAGAGAGAGTAGAAAATACCGCGTGAAAAACTCCCAGGCAAAAAGAAAATGCAGGAAAAAATGCGCTAGTAGGAAAAAAAGGAAAGAGGATGCGAAATTTTTAATGCGTTATGATGGCGGGCAAACACTTCTAATGTACGATATGGGAGGGGTGGGGTCTGGGGGATCTGGGGGTCTAGGAACAACAGTTTTTTCGCTAGCACTCGCTGGCATCGCATTTGTTGCCATATTTAATGGCGTTGAAGCAAAAACAGAATGCAGAAAGCGTCAACTTTGTGGGAAAACAGGGTTTGCCGTCGAAGTTATAGATACTCTTAAAGATCTATAGATACTATGGGATATAGTGAAAGGATTTCGATCAAATTTGGTTGGGATATGCAAAAGGTCTTGAGTCTGTAGATTCTAGAGTTTTAGTGGAATATTTAAGGAAACAAAAAAGTTATAATGAAAAGACCTATATAGGTTTTTGATGAAAACATTATCCGATTTAGATGAAATTTGGAAGAATAACGGGGAAACAGATCATTATAGTATCTCTAAACTTTAGTGAAATTATTTTAAGGAACAAGAAACTTATAAGCACAAGAAGTGTCATGGTGTTTGATGAAATTTTATCAGATTTTGATGAAACTTGATGAAACTTGGTGGAGTTATGTAGAAGCATACGATATCTTCACTTTTGAGATTTCTTTGGATTTTCTTTAGAAATAAGAAGGAAATAATGTTTTCCATAAAACAGATTTCCGAATTTAATGGAATAATGGAATAAAAGTGTTATAAAACGGTGTAATAATACTTAGAGTTTGGATGAATTACCTACCAATTTTCTTATAATTTAATTATTAATTTTCCTCTCCATGTTGCAAAAGTCTAATAAAAACATGGATACCCCCTTCCAGGGTACCTCAAAAAATAGCAAATGAAATAAAGAGTAAAAACTAGAAGCGGTAGAGGGAGAGGAGGGGGTAAATTGAAAAAATATGTTATTGTGGCAAGGCATTTGGTGTCAAGAGAGTGCCACACAAGAGTGCCAGTGGAGTGTGTGCGTGAGACTGGTTGAGTGCCAGGGAAATGGCTTGGAAAATATTTACCCAAGCATGCCACTATTTGTTGCACTCTAGGAATTAGAGAATACAAACAATAATCTAAGAAAATTTAAATGAGTAAAAGATGAGAGAAAAACAAACCTTAAACAGTCTTTTGCAAAAAATCTAATAAAAATAAATCAATGACAAAAATTGCCAGGCTTCCAGCCCACAGAAAACTTTTTCCACCACAGCACACACAGGACACAGGACTCCTTCTCTTTGAGGCAAAGTCAACAATAAACAGGAACCACAATAACGAGGACAAAGCCAGGCCCCCAGACAGTAGTCCATAAAAAGGAGGCACACACAAACATTAATAAAGTTGGTTAACTTGCAGTTAACTTTACCCGTGAGTGTGCTTAAGCATTATAAAGAACAACAACAGCAGGAGGGAGGGGGAGGGCAGGACTAACGACTAAATAACGAAACGGGGGGGGGGGGGGGGGGGGGGGGGGGACAGGCGCCAAAAAGTATGCAACACGCACCAGAGCAATAAACCATATTCAACCGCAGGACCGTATCCTGTGCTAAGGGGAACTTCCCCCCCAAAACAAATTGCAAACTGATTTAAAATTAAGCAAAAATATATATAGCACCTGAAGGAGACGGAGGAGGAGGAGGAGCCAAAGCAGAGAAAAACACACGTAACACAAATGAGCGTCATCAATCAAGTGAAAGGGCGAGCAGGGAAAGCAGCAAAGGAAACCTCACTCAAGGATAAAGGATAAGCAGAGCCAGGAAACCAGAAAACCAGGAAGTGTAAGTGGCGTGCTCCTGATTTTGCCCCCTCAAAAAAGGCACAGCTGCCGCTGCAGCAGAACTTTCTTTAATAAGAACTTTTCAGCCTGGCCCTCTCTCTGTTTTCCCAACAAATCTGGCAATCAATTATGTTAATAAAAAAAAAAACAATAAACAAATTACAGCAAGTGCTACTGCCTTTCTCCCTTTGATTTAATGGCAGGACCTACTTTTCTCTAAATTTCGCAGCACCTCCCCAGCCCCCATTCTCTCCTAAGCGATAAAGTTGCGGCCTAAGTGGTGCCGCTTCAAGTCTTCTTCTGCGGCTTCTACAAAAACACACACAAATTCGAGAAGAGGAAAACTTTCTTTCAGTTTTGGAGAACGAGAGGCACAGTTTGTCAACAGAAGAGCAGCAGTCGTTCTCTTCATCAGGAAGAGGAGCCTCTCCTGTTCTCTGTCTATCTTTCAGGGGGGACGCCTCTTCTGCTCTCTGTCTATCTTTCAGGAAGGGCGGTCTCTCCAGCTCTCTGTCTATCTTTCAGGCGGGAAGGCTCTACAGCTCCACAGATAGACATTTTAGGGGGGACGCCTCTTCTGCTCTCTGTCTATCTTTCAGGGAGATGCTGCTACTTTTTGCTCCATCAGGCAGGCTGCACCTCCTCCTCTCTCTCTCTCTCTCTCTCCCCATCCGGCAAGTGCTCCTTCTCCCTCTATCCGACAAGTGCCCCTTCTCCTCTCTTCTGGCTAATAAGACTTTCTGTTGCTCTTCTTGGCTGTTAAGTTTTTCCTACTCTGAAAAGGAGCCAAAGGCGAAACTTTGTTGTTTATTTGAGAACGAGGAGAACCGCAGGTAGTACTTGAAGTCTAATCATTTACATTGCCCCCTGCCGCTGTCAACATCCCCATCTGTTATCATCCTCATGCCCATTTCCATCATCATAATTGCCATCCAGAGAGACCAGAGACAATTCAACAGAAACTATCATTTGCTTTGTGGTTGGAAACTTTGCTCATTTGCTGTCATGGCACAAAGTTTAACCTTCAGGTTTAGAGTTCTGTTAATGTTTTAACAGGGGGATTGACGCTTTGATTTGTTGTCAGCGGAAGTAAGGATTGTGATTGGTTTCCTTCCAGGAAGAGAATGATGTATCCACTGCAGAATGGCAGTTTTAGGCTATGCCTGAGAGAAGATACTTTTGTGGGAGATATTTGTACAGGGAGACATTTCTAACCACCTACGGATTGTAGAAAGTGAAAGATATAGACAATGACTAGGGGATGAAGAGGATTTGAAGCGGGTTCTAGATGAAAGTCTCTGGATTCCATGTGTTGAAGGAAATCTATCACCTTCTTGAGATCTGGGAAGTTTCCTAGAGGATATTTAGCAGATTAACCATAAAGAAACATCTCTTAAGCCTATGGATTGTTCAAAAAGAAAGATGTGTTCCACGATTGAGAGTTTCAGAGGCTTCAGAGCAGATATACAGATTACATTTGCTGTATTTCTTATGAGAAGAGTGGACTTTGAAGCACTAATCTTGCAACAAGAAGATATACATATGTAGGCTCTAAAAAATAGATGAAAAGGCTCTGGTGCAGTTTCTGGGTCATGTAAAACCTTAAAATTTTCACAAACGAAAGAAGTAGACTCTGATTAAGAGATGCCCCAAGGCTAAGGGAACTTTTCGAGCCCCATTTCAATGTAGAGGCCACTATCGTATGGGATTGATTAAGGCTTATAAACTGCTTCAAATAATCCCCCTTGTCCAGAACCTCTCTCTTTCTCTCTTTATGCAAAAACTTTCCCCTCAAGGTGTTCATAGCTTAAGCAACTTAAAGGTGTCCTTAGGGTCTTCACCCAAGTCCTGACAGCTCCTAGCCTCTGGCATCGTGTCACCGCTCTAACGCGTATTTAAGTGGCCTACTCACTCAAACAGAAAAAGAGGCTCAAGACGAGGCAAAAGATTGGCCAAAGAGTAGGCGAAAGAGCCGCTGAAATCAAAGTTAAGCTCTTCTGCCGCTGCCTCCGAGAAGATGCTCCAACGCTTAATGGGATGCGGTTTGAGAAGGGGCGTAAGGGCGAGCCAAAAAGGTCGCGGGGATTTGCCACAGAACCAAAGCCCGTCTCTGTCTCTGGTGCACAAAAAAAGTTTGCTGTGTGCCACGCAAAGAGGATCAGAATGAGGCATGGGGCACTCTATCCTCTATCCTGTAGGGGAGCAGTAGTGTGTGCAACGCATCGTAAATGTTAAGTCAAAAATCTAGTTGGCAAATACTTTTGGCACTCAATGTGTGTGTGTCTGTGCGCCATGTAGGGGATAAGCTGGTGACTCCATCGCACTCTCTCTTTCTCTCTCTCTCTCTAGGGAATTATGCTTATAAGTTTTACTTCC